TTATATTGCCTACAATGACAGTGAGAATTTTTTTGGTAATAATGACAAGGTGAGAGTAGGGCTACTTAAAGTCTAGTCCATAGACTGGTGTCATCCAGAAGTGTTTGCTACTGTTCACGATGTGATAAGAACTGACACAGAGAGCAAACATTTAAAAACATAGCCATCCCACAGAGCGATTTTATGCCAGTTGAATTTAACGGCACTAAATGGAGGCTTTTATATATTTTTTTTTAATATCATTTCTCTAGTTATTTACTTTTATTTCAGCCTGCTGAATATCTAAATGTGATAGACTGGCAATTTTACAAAATTGATCTTTTCCCATAGTCTGTGAAGCAAGAGATTAGAGTAAAAGCTCTGGGGTTCGGCTAGTTTGGCTCCTGGATCTGTATCTGGGCAACTGTGGGACCTGGAGCAAGTCAGTAACAATGTCTGTTAAACTGGAATAACAATATTACCTGCATTAGAGGATTTTTGTAGGGATTGAATAAGCCAATTTGTGTCTTGGGAATTTTTTGTAATTGCTGTTTTATCTAGGGGGAACAGAAAGACCTGCTGAGTCAACAACTGGAGGTGAAAGAGAAAGCACTTCTACTGAACCAAGCCCTGGAGTCACAAGCCAAGGTTAGCGTCTGAGCGCTTAACCACTGCGCTATCAGGGCTCGGCGGGAGAAAGATGTGGCAGTCTGCTTCTGTAAACTTGGAGAACCTGTGGGGCAGTTTTCCTCTTTTCTGCAGTATCAACTATAAGTATGAGTATCACACACTTTAAGAATCCAAAACCAGCCTGTAGCTGTCGAGTTAAATCTGACTCCTGGCGAATGCACTTGAGGGCATATTAAATGGCACTTAAGATATTACAGGTTGAACTGAAGAGTAAGTGCTACCTGATATTAGACCATCTGGATGCAGGAAATCCTAGGGGTCATTTTAAAATTTCTTTTATATTAGAAATCTAATTCTGTCACACTTGAAAAGAATAGTGATATGTGGAATCCTACAACCCTTGAAGTAGCACCCCCTCCCTGCTGTTACATCAGAGATCCCAGGATATCAGAGAGCTTCACAGCAGCGCGAGGGAGCAAGGGCACAAGAGGAGCCTCAGGGGCTCCAGGCCCAGCGTCCAGAGGGGAAGCAGGTGTGGAAATGGGAGGGTGGTAGCATCTTCTTACTGACCTTAGGGAAGTCATCAGTGACCTCTGAGATGACATGAC